TCACTAGATAGTTCAAGGTTTGCTGTTCTGCAGTTTTTCTGTTTATGAACAATTTATTCTTTTCTTTTCTTTTTTATGTTACAATTACTGAACACCACAGCTAAAAAACGGAATGTAACGGAGTAGGCAGCTTGTGTCTCTGATATAGCTAAATTAAATTAAAAGTAAAAATAAGACTACGTGTATTAAACATATAATTTGTATTGTAGTCAAAACTAAAAATATGGTCTAATTAAATACACAATTGATTAAAAAAACAACAACATATACAGTATATATATATATATATATATATATATGTGTGTGTGTATACTGTGTGTATATATATATATACACAGTATATATACAGTATATATATGTATATATATATATATATATATATATAAAAATGTATTTATTTAATTCATTTAACTGTAAAGTTGCCTGAATGCTTTGTATTGTTATGTAGACGGTGGTTGGAGCTGTCTACACGTTTTCCAGTTACTGTTTACTCTATGTTGAAAAACTCCTTTTGTTTATCCACTTGCCTTCCAGAAGATTTACCCCCCTTCCTGGCTATTTTTTGAAATATGGCACTGCGTTGCCCCACAAATAAAACTTTCTTTCAGTGGTATTTGATCACCTCTGTGGTTTTTATTTTTTGCGCTATAAACAAAAAAAGACCGACAATTTAAAAAAAAATAACAATATTTTTGACATTTTGCTATAAAACATATCCAATAAAAAAATAAAAAAATAAAATTTCGCCATAAATTTAGGCCAAAATGTATTCTGCTACATGTCTTTGCTAAAAAAAAATCCCAATGCGTGTAAATTAATTGGTTTATGTGAATGTTATAGTGTCTACACATGGAGATATATATACTGGAATTTTTTTTTTTTTTATACTAATAATGGCGGCAATCAGCAACTTAAAACGGGACTGTGGAACTGCTTCTGGTACTGGGAGGAACTGACTAACTGACACTAATACAGTGATCACTGCTAATAAAAAGCACTGACACGGTACTAATGACACTGGGCAGGAAGGGGTTAACATCTGTGGGATCAAAGGGTTCAAACTTCTCAGTAGTAACACAATTGAGCATGCCCATACTAGGACACCTAAGTATTGCCTTCACTCCGTTGTTTTTTTGGAAGTGCTATAGTAAATGCTTTTGCTCACAAGCCTGGACATGTCATTCAAGAACGTGAACCTGTTTTTGTCAAAGCACAATGAATAAACAGGCTAACATTTACACCGCGTTCCAAATTATTATGCAAATTCTATTTAAGTGTCACAAAGATGAAATATTTTGTTTTTAAGTGTAACTCATGGATGGCAATGTGTGTCAGGGCTCTTTTTGATCACTGAAAACAATCTCGGACACCTGTGATAATTAGATTGGCAAATGAGCCCAATTTAAGGAAAAACTACTAAAGGAGGGTGTTCCACATTATTAAGCAGAGCACCATTTTCAAGCAATATGGGGAAGAATAAGGATCTCTCTGCTGCCAAAAAGAGTGAAATAGTTCAATGCCTTGGACGAGGTATGAAAACATTAGATATTTCCCGAAAACCTAAGCGTGATCATCGTACTATTAAGAGATTTGTGGCTGATTCAGAGCACAGACAGGTTCGTGCAGATACAGGCATATTGAGGAAGATTTCTGCCAGATCCATGCATCGGATCTAGAGAGCAGCTGCTAAAATACCATTACATAGCAGCAAACAGATATTTGAAGCTGCTGGTGCCTCTGGAGTCCCACAGACATCAAGGTGTAGGGTCCTCCATAGTCTTGCAACTGTGAATAAACCTTCTATTCGGCCACCACTAACCAATGCTCACAAGCAGAAATGGCATTGGGCAGAAAAATACATGAAGACTAATTTTCAAGCAGTCCTGTTCACTGATGAGTGCCGTGCAACCCTGGATGGTCCAGATGGATAGAGTAGTGAATGGTTGTTGGAGGGCCACCCTGTTCCAACAAGGCTGCGACGTCAGCAAGGCGGTGGTGGAGTCATGCTTTGGGCCGGAATCATGGGAACAGAGCGGGTCGGCCCCTTTAGAGCCCCCGAAGGTGTAAAGATGACCTCTGCAATGTATGTGGAGTTTATGACTTACCACTTTCTTCCCTGGTACAGAAGGAAGAACTATGCTTTCTGTAATAAAATCATCCTCATGCATGACAATGCACCATCTCATGCTGCAAAGAATACCTCTGCATCAATGGCTGTTATGGGGATAAAAGGAGAGAAAGTCATGGTGTGGCCTCCATCCTCTCTTGACCTCAATCCTATTGAGAACCTCAAGCAAAAGATCTATGAGGGTAGGAGGAAGTTTACATCCAAACAGCAGCTCTGGGAGGCTATTCTGACATCTTGCAAACAAATTCAAGCAGAAACTGTCCAAAAACTCACAAGTTCAATGGATGCAAGACTTGTGAAGCTGCTATTAAATAAGGGGTCCTATGTTACAATGTAACGTGACCTGTTAAAATGTTTAAAAAGTTAAAATGTTGTTAAAAGTTTGATTGAAATAGCTTTTGATTTCAGTAAAAATGCTGCAAACACAACAAATGACAATTTTCAGTTCTTTACAACCTATAAAGTGTTTTGAAACTTACTGTGCGTAATAAATTGGAACAGTGCATTGTAAGTTTTTTATGTTTAAAAAAAATCCTGTTATCATTAGGAGGTTTGTTCAATAAAATTTGAATTGTACTCTTAATAGCTGATAATATGAGAATTATGCTGACTGTTATTTACATCAATTATTTAGGTAAATGAGAAAAATATAATTTGCATAATAATTTGGAACACGGTATTATATATATATATATATATATTTAACAGTATACATCAATACTTGTAACTATAGAACTGTTACTATACACAGAAAGACCAACTTAGATGTTCTAAGAACTTTTTCATTTCTTTTGTAATTTTATTTAGCTTTGTTTATTTGCTTCTTATACAATATTCATCTTTTCTCATTTTTAAATAATGTTAGCGTTTTGATTTTGTTTTGAGCATATATTCCCTGCAGTATACATACTTATGTATGTACTGCCATGTGCATTGAGCATGTCCAGGGACTTAGACGTTTGAGATATATTAACTGAATGGTTGAAAGACTGCATTTGGTGCTCAGCATCTAACAAAAATCTAAATCCAAACTCCCATAGCTGTCTTCACTAACCACACACAATACCAGTGCTGAAGCAAAATTAAAAGGAATCCAAATGTAGCACCATAAATACTGTTGATTATTTTTACACAAGTAAATGAATGTACCTAGAAAATAAATGTAGAATATTTAACTATTCCTGTATTTGTTAGATCAATAAACCTTTTTTTTTCTCAAGTGGAATGTATTGTTAACACCCATACAAATAAAGATATAATAGTCTACAAAATAAACATCAGTGTTTGACCCACCTGTCCTACCCGCGGTGCCATTCGTGGCTGTCAATCACCAGGTCCCAGTCGGTGATTACTCGCCGGTGCCTGGTGATTGCCAAGCATCTCTGATGGGGAGGAGAACTGTATGTAAACAATACAGTTCTCCTACCTGTCAGCTCATGCACACTGCTTTGGATGGCTGTGCATCCAAAGAAGTGTGATTACAGTGAAGCACAGACACACAAACACACGTAATACAGCACACAGTTAACCCTTTGATCGCCCCTCATGTTAACCCCTTCCTGCCCAGTGCCATTAGTACAGTGTCAGTGTTTTTTTTAACTGATCACTGTATTGGTGTCACTGGGGATGTCAGTGATACCAAGTCAGTTCCCCCCAGTGTCAGAATACCCGCCGCACACCTGCGGTCCCACTGTAAGTCGCTAATCGCTGCCATTACTAGTAAAATTCCAGTATCTATACTGCCATTTGTAAATGCTATAACTTTCAGGTAAACCAATTAATTTTCACGTATTGGGATTTTTTTTAGCAAAGACATGGAGCAAAATACATTTTGGTCTAAATTTATTATGAAATTTGGTTTTTTAAATTTTTTTTACTGGACATATTTAATAGCAAAAAGTCAAAAATGTTTGTTTTTTTCTCAAAATTGTGGGTCTTTTTTTTATAGCGAAAAAAAATTAAAAACGCACAGGCGATCAAATACCACTGAAAGAAAGCTCCATTCTTGGGAAAAAAATGACTTAAATTTAATTTGGGTGCAGCATTGCATGACCGCACAATTGTCAGTAAAGTAAAGTAACTCAGCGCCATAACACAAAAAATGGCCTGGTCAGGAAGGGGGGTAAATCCTCAGGAAGGCAAGTGGTTAATTCAACAGTTGCAAGCTGAGGAACAACAATCAATTTGTAAATAAAAACAAACAGTTTTCATAATAAATGTATATGAACACAAAAGAAAAACTAATTGCATGTGTGGTAGCTGCGATTGCGCATAAAATGAGTTATCACGCACACAAATGGTCACAGGATCAGCTCCTGGACCAGAATTGTGGCATCACATTTGAAGGGTGTTTACATGCACCCAGAGACATAAGAACAAAGGTCAGTTCCTTGGGCAAAAGTAAACACGCAGCAGCTGGAGGTAGGTGGCACCTATCAAACTCAAAAACACAGGAACACCAAACAGAGAAGGGGAAAATTAACGGGGGCAGAGGAAGGAAGAAAAAATCAGGCAACGCAAACGAGACATAACACAGGTCATTTGCTTTGGCTAAAGGCACACTACACTACATTTAATGAGCAAACTTAAATGCATGCACAAAAGAGACAGGATTGGCAAATTAAATGGGGAACAGGAAAAGTTTGTTAAAGTAAGAGAGATGTACCGTATTTTTCGCTCCATAAGACGCACCTGACCATAAGACGCCCCAGACAGTACAAGAGAAGACCAGAGACTGCAGACATAGTACAGGGGATGACCAGAGACTGCGGACATAGTACAGGGGATGACCAGACACTGCAGACAGTACAAGAGATGACCAGAGACTACGGACATAGTACAGGAGATGGACCAGAGACTGCAGACACAGTATAGGGGATGATCAGAGACTGCAGACAGTACAAGAGATGACCAAAGACTGCGGACATAGTACAGGAGATGACCAGAGACTGCGGACATAGTACAGGAGATGACCAGAGACTGCGGACATAGTACAGGAGATGACCAGAGACTGCGGACATAGTACAGGAGATGGACCAGAGACTGCAGAAATACTACAGGAGATGGACCAGAGACTGCTGACATACTACAGGAGATGGACCAGAGACTGCGGACATACTACAGGAAATGACCAGAGACTGCGGACAGTACAGGGGATGATCAGAGACTGCGGACAGTACAGGGGATGACCAGAGACTGCGGACATAGTACAGGGGATGACCAGAGACTGCGGACAGTATAGGGGATGACCAGAGACTGCGGACAGTATAGGAGATGACCAGAGACTGCGGACATAGTACAGGAGATGACCAGAGACTGCGGACAATACAGGAGATGACCAGAGACTGCGGACAGTACAGGAGATGACCAGAGACTGCAGACAGTACAGGGCATGCCAGACACTGCGGAGCTTTAGGGAGGAGGGAGAGTGGGTACCTGAATTTGACAGGTACCTGCTCCCACTTCCACGGAGTTCTCCTTCCTATACTGCGGGCACCTGACTTTCACAGCCGGGTGCCCACTGCGCATGGGCGAGAAGCGCTGCGCTTTGTGAATGGCCCGGCATCTTTTGGGACCTGTCATGTGTCCCAGAAGACACCGGATCATTCACAAAGCGCAGCACTTCTCGCGCATGCGCAGTGGGCACCCGGCTGTCACGGATGCCGAGGCAGCTAAAAGCCGGCGTGGGAAGACTACAGCGCTGGACCGAGGAACAGGTGAGTTCCTGCCGCAGAGAACAGCTGAGCGGCCGGCCCGGTATTCTGACATGGTGGCGGCGGAAATACCGGACCGGCCACTTTATATTCGCTCAATAAGACGCACTGACATTTTCCCCCCTTTTTTGGGGGAAAAAAGTGCGTTTTATGGAGCGAAAAATACGGTAGTTAAAGGACAAGTTCACCTTTGGGAACATGTTACATGTTCCACCCATTTTTAGGGTGGAACATGTAATATGTTCCCAATTCTGCAGCTGCTGCTAATCACCCCCCTCCCTGTGGCCCACATGGCTATTTAATTCATTCATAGAGTTGTGTGAAAGAATGAACTACAAGTCCCGACAAAATATCAACTTATAACGCAGGGGTCTCCAAATGTTTCAAACAAGGGGCCAGTATATGGTCCTTCAGACTTTAGAAAGGCCGGATTAGGGCCAGAGATGATAGAAAATGTCCTGGCCCCAGCATCATTGAGAATAAACATGGCATCAGGGGTGATGAAGGAGTAGTGCCCCATTATTGGTATTAGTGGGAAGAATAGTACACCATCATTGGTTTCAATGATGGCAGAATTAGGGCCAGTGAGGATAGAAAATGCCCTGGCCCCAGCATCAGTGAGAATAAACATGGTCGCAGGGGTAATGGAGGAGTAGTGCCCCATCAATGGTATTAGTGGGAAGAATAGTGCACCATCATTGGTTTCAATGGAAGATGTGCTGCCCCATTGTTGGTCTCAGTGGGAGGAATAGTGTCCCAAGAGCTGGATAAAGGGTAGCAATGGCGCATATCCGGCCCTCAGGCCGCAGTTTGTAGACCCCTGTTATAAAGTGTAGAGCTGCCCCTAAAGCTCTCAATCAAACTAAAACACACCTGTGAAAAAAAAATCAGAAAGTGATACTGAAAAATGTGCAGAAAGTGATACTGAAAAGTAAATAAATAATGAAAATTAAAATGAAATAACAAAAAGTCCATGCAAGCCCATGTAATGTTGCGGGGCAGATTAAAACACAACACACAAAAACGTGTCAAAAACACATAAAAAATGCACTACATGCTTTTTTGCAGCATCTCCATTGAAGTCTATAGAACCAAAAATGCAACGTTTTGCATTTAAAAAAGTCCCTGACCCTTTCTAAAAAACGCAGCGGGTGAAAATGCGGTGATGTGAACCTGTCCCATAGGAAAATCATGTTAAATGGACTGCTATGCTTTTCAGCAAAACGCAATGGAAAACGCTTAGGTGTGAACCTAGACTACGGGAAGACCACACAGGTCTAATAGCGCTTTGCTCAGATCTGTTCAGTGCTCCTGAACCACCTGCTGCTCCTGCTCACCTCTCCACTCATCAAATGGTTTACCAGCCAAAGGATCTCTCTGGTCATTAGATAGTTCACCAGCCAAAGGATCGGAATGCTCAAATCATAGGAGGCCCACCATTGAATAAAATAAGTATGTATAAAAACATTCAGTTAATGCACTTACATTCAGCCAGTAAAAACTAGGCAGAACATATGACAAGCTCGCAGATAATCCCTCCGCCGGCATCCGACATAAGATACTGTCACTTGCCTAATCTTTCCTTTCCTTACAAGTCCCAACAGCCTTAGCAGCTGTCAGCTTGTAGTTGACCTACCATGGCGCTGTGAAGCGCCCTGATAGTTCATTGATTCTTCCTGTCAGTATATCTGCTGTTTGCCCGTATGGGCAAGCAGATATACTGACAGATCTGCAGGAGATCTGCATGGCACCAGCAATCTGCTGATCGCTGGTGCAGTGCTTTACAGGCTCCCACAGACACAAGAAATAATAAATGCACATTTTTTTACCTGCAAAAAAATGTACATTTATTATTTGTAGTCAAAAGGTGAACTTATCCTTTAAAGCTATAGCTTGTTGTAATATAACGTTGAGAGACATCTGTAACCTTGCCGTATGAAAATACAGGAAGTAACACCTGGAAATGCTGATGAGCTCCAAACCCCAGAATGAATAATTGCTATATGCCTACAATTTATAGTTAATTTGGCATTGGTGTACATGCTTACGCAATTGCGGGTATTTATACATGCCAATGACCACTCCTGCTTCACTTCTTGCAATCATGGCTGAAGAGGAAGAGGAGCTGCTGTTGGAGCTGGCTATGTTTGCCAGAGCCTTCTGCAAAGCAGAGAGGAGGCATACAACTAAAAATAAGAAATAGTGTCACACTCCACTACCAACTGAAAAAAATGTGTAAATGAATAAATAATTAACAATCCAGCTTCACAAATGTACATAATGATATCTCTGCAATTATATTATTGCTGCAAACATGTCCTTGTAAAATCCTTGTTTTTGGCACTTCTTCCAGTGCTATGATACAAAATTATAAGCTGTGCAGTTCACCAATCATAACAAAAATTTGTACACCTTGATAGGTTGTGCTCTCACCTGGTGTGTATGACCAAACTGTTAAGTGAGATCATAAAAGACTTGTGTCCCTTTAATGGGACTGAATGGTAAATGGATGGGATGATTCCTCTATCCCTGGGATGGATGGATGGATGAATGAATGGATGGATGAATGGAGTGTTCCCTCTTCCAGCAGGGGGTCTCCTTGCTTCCTTATAGATTTGCCTGGAGCTGAATAGATGGATGGGAGTATCCCTCTTCCCACTAGGGGGTCTCCTTGCTTCCTTAGGGATTTTCCTCCATAGGTGTAATGGCCATGGAATATAAGAAAAAATATAGTGCCTTATCCTTTTTTAAAAACATAACTTATTAAGTATAGTAGTGCACTCAATTGTATTACAAGTTAAATCTGCATTGTATTGTTAAAATTTTAATCCACAGTAAAGTTTTTCCTTTCTTGTTAAATACTTGCTGTGTGTTTCTTTAAGCGTTGTGACATCAGAGCCCCTCCCTCTATTTTAAATAGTGTAATATACACTACAGTAGCTCACAAGACCCCACATTTCAGGCATACAACTAAGCTGCTGTTCCTATGGCCCGCCTTCACCAGCCATGGCTTTTTGCACCACATGCTTACTTGGAAAACATGAAGGATTCTGATGTCCATTGCAGGTTTCGCTTAGGACAAGAAGCAATTATGCAACTCTATAAGCTTATTCCTACCCTCAAGGAGCGTACAATCTAAGGTTCCTAACTGACATTTATACTGTACATACACATACTAGGGCCAATTAGCCTATCATCATGTCTATAGAGGGTGGGAGGAAACACACACAAGCACAGAAAAAGCATGCAAACTCAAGGCAGGTGGTGCTATGGTTGGGATTTGAACCACTGGCCCTAGTGTTGCTAGGCAGAAGTACTAACCACTAAGCCACTATGCTACCCATAATGGAAATAGAATATATAGTAGTGCAAGAATAAATATATATAATTATAAGCAGGCATTATAAGAAACTTTGAATTAGACATTAAAAATTATTTGTCATATAACTGTAATTTTTGGATATATATTTAACATTAGAAAATAGTATGCATTACTCTGTAACATTCATTACAAAATGCAGAATATGTAAAAAAACACCACAAAACAGGAAAGAGAATTAATAGAATTAGAACCTAAATAAGCCAAACAACAAACCATACCTGCCAATTGTTTCTTTTTACACAAAAAACAATGGGATCAAGGATAAATCCTGCACACTTGCACCCTCTAGGAACCATATTTAGCATTGCCTATTATGTAAATGTGACTATGCCGATACAACATTTACTAATAGTCGTTCTCCTGTTTGATGGCACTTTTCTGTTGACCACGGCAAGGTCTTAATTGTAAGGTGTAATAAGGTATGTCTATTGTTTCCCCTTATTCTTAATAAATCAGCCCTATATGTCTTCTCATGATGCCATGTACTGTATCTGTGTGAAGAGTTGCCAGCTCTGATGGAACAGAGCCAAGCTAGCTGTTGCTCTCTAATGGGAAAAAGCCTATGAAAGACAGACCTTAATGCTATCCAATACACAGTACAATATCCTGCCAAAATGGAATAATTATGTAGACTAATTATGTTAAAGGAATGGTACATGATAATTTATGGCAACTATAAATTCTCCATGATTACCATTCTCTACACATTCCTGCAGTTGTTAGAGAGGAATTCTATTTTATGTGAATACTTGATATGATCTTCAATAAGTCATAATAACAAAAAAGATGTCAAAAAAGTAAAACTATTGGCAAAATAAAAAAATTAGATACTGTATATAATGCAGTATGCCAGCAGCATTAACACAGCAGTGTTGACCTCTCCCTGCAACATAATATTTGTACCTGTTGATTCTGTCATTATACCTTGAATTTCCTGTAAAAGGGTGGCAATGCTATGCATTCTGCAGTGCAACTGTGCAGCAGCATTGTCATCCTGTTTATACACACAGAATGAGTGCACAACCACACAAATAAAAATCCACAAACATCAATTGAAAACATCAGTGATGTGCATATCTTATAAAAATTAGTGAAGTCCAGGAACAAGTGAAAATATTCAACTACCCATCAACTCTGTGAATGTATCTTAAAGAGACGACGCAGACACTTGTGTCCTTCACCACATATAAGGTTGGCCTCTTACCAAATCTGAAAGATCCACACCACAGAGATCAACCAGGCATGTCATTACCAGACATCTAGACATTCATCAATGTCAGAGGATGAACCACAGAAGAATTGGCACATCTGCCAACATTTAACATGGCGATTCTAATTTGGGCAGAAATGCACGCACACGTTGTCTGCTGGTGCATAGGCACAAAGCATGACAGTTCTTGGCGCTCAGTGGCCGACTTAAAGTCAGCACTCTGGTTCACAAGTTGCTGGAAGATCATCAACCCCCTGTTTCCCTGTGCTTTTGTGTTGCTGAATTCTTGGATTTCCCATTGCTGACTTGGCTTGCCCTTGCACCTGTCTTGGCTTCTCTCCTGGCTCTGACCTCGGCTTATTCTAATGGATTATGCTTACTGCCTGCTCCCTGTGTATGACCTTGGCTAGATCTTGACCACGTTTCTGCTTCTGTTCCT